GTGGTCTCAGGACCATTCCACTAGCCTGCCCGCTAATGCCATCTCTCCAAAACCTCTTCCAATGTAGCACAAGTGTGAATAAATCCTCTACTTGGATCTGTGTCTCCTCCCTGAGGTTAGTTATAGAAGCTGGAGAGGGACTGAAATATTTAAGAAGTGAGAAAGGATTTTTCAATACATATCACTGTACGGTCAATCTAATCAAGTTGATGCCTTTAAAGCATTTCTTTTGAACATTTGATGGAGTTGGGGGATTGAATATGATGTGTCTATTTGTTTTTAGTCACTTAGAAAGTTTAATAGCATCTCCATGGGAGAAGTGACAAAAGTAAGTTAGTTTTCACTTAAGCTAGGAAATATTCATAAGGAGGTTTTAAAGCAATAAAGGATGTTTTTGTAGAAATGCTGGTTCTCATTAGCATATCACTAGCAGTAAGAATTATGATGAAAATAATATGTGCTGTTTGGATGATATATCTTGTGCCAGATCCCATGGTGGGTTCTTTACCTGCTCCTTTGCTAGAGTCAAAAAACACACTTTTACAGGTAAGAAAACTAAGACTAAGGTGTGTAACGGTCTTATAAATGCTGGTTAAGTGGTTGCTTTTGACCCATGCTTTAAAACATCATATTTCAGCTAAGAGATTTTTCAATTCAACTATCACATGTGCTTACTGTTTACTTTAAATTGGGAAGATTTTTGGATGTTTATGTGGTTTCCTACAAGTCTTCTTTGTTTCTATGGAGTTAATTATTAAGAAATGTGCACATATCTCAGTGGGTATATATATGCATACACATGGTATATTCAATGATATTAACTTTGCAACAGGGCCAACTACATTATGGAAAACAGTCATATTTCCAATAGCCCTGAGGTAACAGGTAATCTTTTACTCCACGTAGTTAGAATTTCTAACTACCAAGGAATTTATATTATTCCCAGTAGAAACAGTTATCCTCGTAACTAGGACGATTCAGTTACCTTACCAGAATCCTTAGTTAGTTTAATTACCCAGGTTGTGGCTGTCCAGGGCTTTATTTTCTTTTACCCCTTTAACTCTTTATTTCTTTGTATCAGTCAAATTTATTTCTTGATGGTAAAGGGAACCATCTTCCCTCTGGTACCTGGAGGGGGAGGAGGGTGGAGGGAGGAGGCAGAGGAACTCTTTCCCTGGAAACCTAAATTCAGGAGCCAAGTTCAGGAAGGGAATCCCTCAGTTGACTTGTCATGCAGGAATAGTCTTTGAGTCCTCCAGGATTTAAAGCAGGATTGAAATAAGAAGTGTAAAAGAGCAGACGAGGAATAGAGATATTTAGTGCCAATAAAAGTATCCTGGAGACTTTGTAAACATTTTTAAAGAAATGCTTAATCCATTATTAAAATAATGATTGACTTTATTTCGTGATAATATGTGTATCATATGAAGTTAGGATGACTTACCATTTCAGATTTAAAATACACATTAAATAAGTGACTACTATGATGTTATTTTGAACAATATTTAAGCTTCCACCTTGATTGTATGCCCAGTATAAAAAAGGAGAAGATTGCCTTCCTGTCCCCTTTAGAAATTTTAATGATTATTGGATTAGTATCTGGTTCAAACCTTTTAACCTGGTTAGAACTTTAAGAATCATCAGACTAACAGTTTTATACATCACGGTTTGAGTGAGCAAACAAATCTGTCTCCTCGCAAACAATGCAGAAAAAAATGTTAGCAATTTTGACTAGGGCTCCTTGAATTTTAACTATTTAAAGGATGTATCAACCACCAGGAATCTTGTTAAAATGCAGATTCTGCTTCCATAGGCCTGGGGTGTGGCTACATGTCTAACAAGCTCCTGGACGATGCGAATGCTGTTCATCTGTAGACACTTTGAGTTGCAAGGATAAGTGTCCAACTTTTAGCATTCTTAAAATGTAAATATAATATATAAGTATATATATTTTTATTTAAAGTGTTAATTCTTGTCAGAGGTTAATAAATAACTAGCCTGTGTTCAATGGATATGAACTTCGAACTTTTCCTAGAACTTCTCAGTATCTAGTAAAATAAATGTATTTTTTCCATGTTAATGTTCTCACTTTTTAAAATTCTAACATCGTTATCCTAAGATAGTTCTTTTAGAATCATTATATGTATGCAATGTGTTTCTATATGTGTGTGTGAGAATACCTAGCAACAAAGGTTTTGACCTCCACTTTTTTCTAGAAGGACAGTTTTCTCTACAGCATAAGTGGTTTGTCTTTGGGGGCTGCATGTTCATTATATGTATGCAATGTGTTTCTATATGTGTGTGTGAGAATACCTAGCAACA